TTTATTAAAGACTGTGTGAAGCTTACCACATGTACACTCCTTTTGATCCTGAGGACCCCAAAAACCAGCGCATGATAAATATGACATTAGTCAGTCAGTGTGCAGAAGGCATTAGATGAAAATTGTAGAAGCAGGCAGGATTTGCATGAATGAATACTTCACAGTTATTGGAAATAGCTAACCAGGTGTTTGTAAACAGAGAGGCAGTTAGCCAAACAGAAAGGCAGTAAGCCAGAGAGAAAATCGTAGGGAAGTCAGGCTCAACAGAAGGCCAACTTAATCGATGCTGCTATGAGAGGAACACCCCTAAGAGTGTGGGAAAAGGGGGGGTTCCTGGAAAGCATCCCAGTCTGCCTGCCCACACCTGCAACGAGATCAGTGTGCATTTTGTCGAGAAATAGGACATTGGAAGAAAAAATGTCCACAGTTAACTGGAAAACAGGGAGACCCTGAGCACAACGCTTCAGACAAAAGTGAAGGGGCTCTGCTCAACCTAATGGAAGGGCCACTGGAATAAAAGAGAGGGGGCCGGATTCATATGCCCCCAAAGAGCCCATGGACAACAGCCCTGTAACCTCCCATGGAAAGAACCAAAACCAGTGTTGTTAGAGCTATTAAGGTGTTAAGAGAACAGACTTTCTTGTACTTAATGGACCGCCCCTGCCCCCCTTCTCCCGCAAAACTTGTTGTGCAGATTAATAAATAAGAAAGACACCCTGCAGCTAAGACTGCCTCAGGCGGTGGTCATCCAGGCTCTCCTTGTCCCTCAGAAAGGAGGGTGGAGATATTCCTAGCCAGGGACCAAAGACTGGCATTTCTGCCCAGGCCATTGCAGGGCTTGCATGACTTTGCACTCACTTGCACCCAACTTGTGCATGCAGTTGGGATTATTGCCAGCAGAGGATAGCTGGTTCACTTAATTGGACTTAAAGAATACTTCTTTAGCATCAGGCTGGCTTTTGAAAGTCAAAAACTATTTGCATTTCAACGGGAGAAATCCAGAAGCAGGTGTGACCACCCAGTACACCTAAACCTGGCTTCCCAGGGGCTCAGAAACTCTCTCAACATCCTTGGGGAGGCATTAGCCTGTAACCGCCCCCCTAAAAGCTTCTTGCTTGCATGCTGCCCCCATATGCTGATGATCTTCTTTTGGGACACCCCACGGCAGTCGGCTGCACAAACAAATGCCTTACTTTGGCACCTGGAGGACTGTAGGTATAAAGTGTCTAAAAAGAAAAGCCCAGATTTGCCGACAGCAAGTGAAGTATCTGGGGTTTAACATCCGGAAGGGGGAACGCAGCCTACGAACAGAAAGGAAGCAAGTAATTTGCAACCTGCCAGAATCCAATACTAGAAGGCAGGTAGGATAGTTCCTGGGAGCAGTGGGCTTCTGTAGATTGTGGATTTCCAAACTTCGCCGTAATGGCCAAGCCCCCATACAAAGTGACAAAGAAGGGAGGGGAGAAGACAGGACACCCTTTGAATGAGGCAGAAGCAAAAAGCAAAACTTCTGTCAGCCCTGGCTTTAGGGCTAGCCAACTTAACACAGCCTTTTCGCGCCGTCGGAGGGGGCGGGGGGAGGGGGAAGGAACGGCAATTAAAGACACTAGCCTCAACTCAGGGAATAATTTAAATATCAAAGCACCCCACACAGTAGTGACCGTAATGAATACCAAAGGACATCTTTGGTTAACAAATGCTAGGCCTGCCAAATACCGGAGCCTGCTAAAATAAAAATCTCTGCATCAGCATTGAGGTCTGCAACACCTTAAACCCTGCCACTTTGCTCCCAATGACAGAGGGCCTGGTTAAACAAAACTGTGTTAAATTATTGGACTCAGTTTATTCCAGCAGGCCTGAGCTTTGGGATCAGCCATGGACAGTAGTAGACTGGGAGTTGGATGTGGATGGGGGCAGCTTTATTAATCCACAAGGAGAAAGGTGTGCAGGCTCTGCAGTGGCAACTCTAGACAGCGTAATAGAAGCCAAGTCACTGCCTCAAAGCACCTCGGCTCAGAAGGCTGAATTCATTGCTCTGACTCGAGCCCCAGAGTTGACTAATGATAAGGTTGCAAACATTTACACTGATTCGCGATATGCCTTTCTGACTCTCCAAGTACAAGGAAAAAGGCCCATGAAGTAACCTGTGTGCTGCTTCGAGATCTTATCCCTAGGTCTGGACTGCCACTGTGCATCAGACCAGGCAACGGACCAGCATTTGTGGTGAACTTGGCCCAGAGGACAGCGATGGCCCTGGGGTATTATTCTGGAAACTGCACGCTGCCTATTGCCCTCGGAGCTCGGGAAAAGTGAAAAGAATGAACCGGACCACCAAAAATAGCTTAGGGAAAGTGTATCAGGAAACAGGATCAAAGTGGGTGCAGGTACTTCCCTTGATGTTATTCAAAATTAGATGTATCCCCTTTAAAAAAAAAAAAAAACAGGATATTCCCCTATGAAGTCTTATATCATAGGCTCCCTCCCCTACTCCGGGCACTCCCGGGAACTCCTTGGGAGTGGTGAGAGATTGAGTTAGGATGCTAGTTACCAGCTCTAGGGAGAATCGCTCAGGATACTTCAACCTGAATAAATAACAAATGCCCTGTAAGCCTTTTTCTCCCCAGTTCATCCTTTCTTACTAGGTGATCACGTGTGGATAAAGGATGGGAGTACAGCCCCTCTAAAGCCACAATGGAAAGGACCTCAGACCTGATCCTGACCAATCCCACAGCCGTGAAGGTAGAGAATCCCAGCCTGAATCCGCCACCGCCGTGTAAAAACCAGCAACAGCTGAGACTTGGACCAAGGCAAGGACTGCAGAATCACCTTAAAAAGGACAACAAGCCTTGCTCCAGCCACATCCCGGAAGCTGGCTGGTCCACGCAGGGCCGAAGCATGAAGAAATTCATCGTGGGACTTGTTCTTCCTAATATTTGGACTTGTACAGTAGGAACATTAACCAATTTTAAAGAATGCCCTCAGTATATACACCAGGTAGGGTGTAAAAGTTACTGCCATTCTTTTGTACTACAGTTCTTATAAATGTAGAGGGACACAGAAGGGAACCCGTTTATATAATGGTACTCAGTATAAGGTGTGTAATCTGGGAAATGGACAGGTAGCTATGGCACAGGCATCATTAAGCCCTCTTTCTTCCTATTATCTGTTAAGTCAGGTGAGCTGTTAGGGTATTCAGTCTACTCTGCTAGGGAGAAAAGACACCTAAAAATAGGAGACTGGACAGATGACGAGTGGCCACTAGAGAGAATTATTGAGTATGATGGGCCGGCTACATGGGCAGAGGATGGCTCATGGGGATACCGGATCCCTATTTACATGGTCAACCGGATTATCCAGTTGCAGGCTATTTTGGAAATACTAATAAAACGGGCAAAGCTCTGTCCCTCTTGGCCCGACAAGAAACTCAAATGAGACCAGAACCGCTGGCCCTAGACTATTTGCTGGCAGCTGAAGGAGTCGTCTGCGGAAAATTCAATCTAACCAATTGCTGTCTGCATACAGATGACCGGGGCAAGCAGTGGAGGATATTGTGCGAGACATGGCCAAGCTGGCACACGTGCCTGTACACGTGTGGCACGGATTTAACCCTAAGTCCTTATTTGAAGGTTGGTTCTCATCCTTAGGAGGATTCAAGGCCCTCATCATAAGTGTTATAATAATAATAGGCGTTTGTTTGTTGCTCCCTTGTCTACTACCCCTGTTCCTTCAGATGATTAGGGGATTCATCACTACCGTAGTTAGCCAAAAAATGACATCACAAGTATATTATATGAAACATTATCAGTTTCTTCAGAGAATCTGGAAAGCGAGAATGAGAGTAAGACCTCTCACTGATATTATAAAGTGGTGAAGGTCTCAAATTGGGGAGATGATATGTCTCAGAGGGGTACCACCAGATGCCAGCCAGAGCTCTCCTGTATAAGGTAGTATTTAAAGAATCACCTTCTTGACCTGCAGTGAGCATGCTCAGTGACTAACAGGAGTTGGGGGTTCGCGAGAGGCCAGACTCCAGCTGGACCTGGGTGGCAGTTGCTGGTTCAGAATGTGGAAGCACCACTCTCCAACTGGAACAGACCAGGCTGCCTAGCTTTGCCCAGGAGGCTTCAGAGGACAGTTGGATGTTTGTAATAACAGTAGGAAGGAGACACAGGCATTTGGGATTGCCTCCCGCTCTGTCATCCACTGTGCATCTCAATAGAGGAGAGGGCAGGCCAGCCGGCGCCTCCTGAATCTCCTTCCTATAAATAACACGCTTGGTATTGGGGAAACTCTCCAGAAGACACTGTTTTTACTTAAAACAAGATCAAACCCGAAACCTTTTCACATGTGAGTCCTAAAACTATAAACCGAAACCCTTTTCATATGTGATTCCTGAAGCTGTAAATTGAAACCCTTTCATAAGTGATTCCTAAGGCTGTAAACCTAAGATTCTTCTACGTGTAGTATTTAAAGTATAAGCCTATATAAAGGCAGAGCCTTCCTTTGTTAGATGAGCTGAGCTTTGGACCAATTATTGCTCAGGCTCCCAGGCCAAATAAACTTCTTCCTTCTTCATTTGAGAGATCTGTTTCTCGTGGCTGCTCCTGCTACACCTGAAGACATACTAAATCTCAGTCTCAGTTCCAACACTCACCAAACCCACTGATGATTCCCTTAAGCAGCAAGACTGAAAGATCTGAGTTTGCTATCTCCCTAACTTTCATATACCCAGGAAATAGAAGATACCAATCAAAGGATAAAACAGAAAAATCAAGAGTTTTGTGAATTTCTAACAGCTACTCACTTCCTAATATCCATCTGGCTTAGTAAAGGGCCCTGGTTTTAACTGGGCTCACTGCCCTCCAGATAAAAGATGATAATTCAGCCTCCATTGAAACAATGAGTGCTGGGGCCATCAGACTATGTTCTGGCCAGTGAGATGTAAATACTGCCTGGAGTCTCTTCAAAAGGAATAAAGTGTCCTTTCTTCTTCCTTCTTCCATATCACTCTCTGGAGCAGCAAGCCTGAGGGCCACGCCCTAAAGATGGCCCAGCGGTGACTGCAAGAAACTTGGGTATCTGAGAATGTGTGGAGTTGCCATGGCAGCCCAAGACTGCCTCTCTCCTAAATGCTTTCACATGCAAGAAATTTAAGATTCTCTCTAGTTTAATCTATAGTTGTTTTACATTCTTGTGTTTCATGCAGAAAATCTCGATTGTAGGTAAAGGCAAATCTTCAGCCCTTTTAAAATAGTGCTATCCTTTTTATAAGTCAACACAGAGCCTAAACTTCAAGAACAGGCTCTTTGTTCATAAAACTGAAAGGCTAAAAATTAAACTTTTGAACCTTTGGAAAATAACATTTATATTCACTCAGTCATGTTAGAGTTTTTCTATAACAGAACTGGAAGAAGCATTACAGAACTCTTCTAGTTCAACTCCATCTTTTAACACAAGAGAAAGCTGACTTACCCAAATTAATCAAACATTAAAATACTTTCTTCAATGCATTTCCATAAAGTGCTAATGACTGTGTCAGTTTGTAGAATTAAACATGTCTCCCCTTAATAAACAAATCATTCTCTCCAAGTTGATAGATAGTAAATTCAAACACACTCTGCAAGCCTAAAGTAAGCTATTTATTAGTCTGCAATAGAATTCCCTAAAGGGATGTTAGATTACATAAAATGTGCTTAAAAAAAAATTTATCGTCAAGAACTCTTTGAAAACAGCAGCATTAAATATTTCACACACATTTCTTAACTGTTTCAACTTCTCACAGCCTTTACTTTGCTGATGCATGCTGTACAAGTCTCTGAAAGAGGGGAATTTAATATGAAGCATGATTCAATTTTACTTGCCAGAGGAACTGCTTCTTGCAAACCTTCTCAAGAAACTAGTACCCCACAGAACATGTTTTGAAAAACCTAGAAGGTTCACTTTTAGTGAAGAGATAGCACAGGAAGACAAGTTCATGGCTCCCCTTTCAGCTCATGCTACTAACAGAGGCCACAATCAATGCCAGTTACTTGACTTACCTGAGCTAACAGTCGCCTCAATCTCATTGTATCTTATGCTAATGCCTCCTCACAACAGTCTGAGCAGTAGAAAATCAGATGCTGAAACAAACCTCACTCATGACAAAAGTACCAACAAAATAGTTCTTAGTTTAAAATATATTTTTTCATTCCCCAGTATGTAACTCTGTTTGATTTCATTTCAGAAGATTATACCAAGTCTAAAAAGCACAGAACTGATTTGATTTTTTTCTGCACATTATCCTGTCCCTCTTCAAAACACCAATCTATTAAAGCTGATAATTGTCACAAGCAGAATTGAATACTCGAAGTGAAGTTAACTTCACACAGAAAGACACTTCATATTTCATCCAACTTGCAACGTATTGACTGAGTACCTACCATGTGGCAAGGCAGCCTCCTCCTCACAGAGCTTACATTCTGACAGGGGAACCCGAAGGTGAACAAACATGATCTGAAACAGGTACAGGATTTCAAGAAAGCCTACCACAGAGGTACCAACTGGTCTGTGGGGTCACTAAAGGCTATGGGATAAGTTGATCTGAAGGATGAGCAGAAATCAGTTGAAAGAAGAGGCTGAGAGCAGCTCAGGTAGAGAGAGCAAGATGTGTGAAGGCTTAGAAGCAGGAGAGAGCAAGATGAAATAAAATCAGACCAGTGCGATGCCAGTGAACAGTGAGGACCTAGAGAAGGGGAGATGGGAGCTGAGGAGCTGGTCAGGAACACTGGGTTTAATTCATCAACCCAGCAGCAAATATCAGTGCAACAAGGTAAGCACATTTACCTTCTGGGTTGTGATGTAATTTCTTCCGAAGCCAGTGGTGGCACTCAGATATTTGATCAGAGGATTGAGAGATTCAGGCTTTTGGTGGAAAAGCCATACCTGGAAAGGAAGGACGTGTCAATGATTTGTTTCTTCTGCCCAAGGTGAGTGAGGCTGGTGGTGACTTACAATTAACACTTTACAGAGCTCCCCACACAAATTATAAATATCCTCTCAAATATAATCAGTGAACGGTTTGGCAAATACATTGAGAACTAATTAAAATATAGTTTAAAAGCACTTGCTTCTATAATCAATTTGTGTTCCTACAATAAATGCATTTATTTCTGTAATGATTACCAAAACAAGAACATCAAAGCCAATTCCAATTATGCCTGCCTTAGCTACTTTCAATTCAGTCAAGATTTAAGAATCTACTAAATACTATAGTGCTAGGCCCTTAGGTTTCCAAAGTGAATAACAAAAATCCTGAAGGAGCTCAAAAGAATGAGAGAGACAAACATAAAGAACTGACTCAGATACAGAGGGTTTTTTATGTAGGACAATTCTGATCCATTAGTAGAGGCTGCCTCTAGAGCTCTGGGTTGAAGAATATTCAGAGACATCACTTGTGTAAAGCAGAAAAGAAGTATTATAGCCCATTAGTAACATCTGCCACTGATGAGGAAACACATGCAATCCATTTGCCATGTGAGATTTAAGGAAATCCACTGACTTCCTAATAAAATAACAACTTGATCCTCTAAGAGGGAAGAAAATCTTCACAGAGGGGAGTGGCATTGAACTTTGTTATCCTGGCTCTTGACCCACAAGATGCACTTTCTCCACGGGAAATCATGGACTGATTGTGCAGTCACCGTCCTGCTTTGCCTGCCCCTCCAGTGTCCCACTGCCTGTCTCTCCTCCAGCTGCTGGTGTATCTTGCCTCTAAAGAAGTGCTTTCCCTGTAGTCATGATGCCCAGTGCCATGGTAGATGTTACACTCGCAAACTTCACTCCTAATGTTTTGCGCTTAGCCTTAAAGTCTGCTTTTAGTTCCAAACAGGACCTTGATTATTCACAGAACTTATTCTCTTATTATCTTTTCTGTTGAAATTATTTTTACTACCAGTGAACCTATAATTCACATCTGCTAAGCCCTCATACAAGCTGTAAAAACTTCAGTAACATACCAGTGCTTCTGTTCCATTGTATGGTGTCAAAGTGAATGCATTTGCAAAAAAGCGAATCTGTGGAAAAGAAAACAACAATTATTTTGTGATGTTTAGAATAGAGTCACAAAAGAATTATTCATTTAAATGTTAAAAAAGAAAATCCCCCTTTCTGATTATAGAACATTTTTTAAGTGACCAAAAAATAAAGAAGTCAAAAAAAGATATATCACTTAATCTCCATTACTCCAAATCAACTACGTTTAACATGAAGGCCTATATACTTCTGATCTTTTCTTTATGCCTGCCCTGAAGGAGAGACATTTCTTCCTGAGCCCTGAAGATAGAATCATTTCCTAAAAGTAGTATTTTTCAATGTGTGCCGGAGGAACAATGGTCCTGTCAGATGTTCAAATCACGAAACAAAAACATGGTTCATAATGTACAATTATCCCCTTCTTGGGAACTTTTAATGCACATGACCACTTCGAAAACTCAGAAGGAGAAGTTGTTTAAAAACAAGTCCAGTTTAACAATGTTTAACATGGGTTTTCTAAACTTATATGATTACAGAACTCTTGGGATCTGTGGTGCATGGGCAATGAAACATTCCTTTAAAGAGAAGTGCACACTCAAATGGTGGCACAGAAGTAATACTTAAGAAATATTAAGCAGAGGTTTCACATTATGTAATTAAGTTCAAAAACCTCAAGTTAAATGGCATTCAGGTTCAGTTCCTTACATCATTTCCCAACCCTGAGACACATCTACTAGGTCCCAAAAAGAGATTTCATAAGCTAAGAAAAGACGTATTCATCACTTACCAGCAATATTGCTGGCATCAACAGCGTCCATATGAAGGGAGGCAGAACTCCATATGTCAAATTGGTCAATGCTGTACCTGGACACACCACACTGGAATAGAGACCCTAGGAACAGAGATGGGTAGCAGTAAGATTTTAACTCAATGTATATTGACTCAGTCCAGCTACGTGGTAGTTAATAAGAGAGGTATGCACGTGAGCCAGGGAGTCATGTAATAAAGAATTCATGCTCTGAGTTGTCTCTGAAGTTGGGTAACACATTTATGTTGAAGAATCATGTATTAAGAGAACCCACTATAAGAGGCACCCAGGATGAAAAAATTAGTAGGACAAAGTCTCTATTCTCATGAAACTTACAGTATAAAAAAAATAACCAATCTTTTTTTTTTTTTAGATGAAGTCTTACTTTGTCACCCAGGCTGGAGTGCAGTGGCACAATCTTGGCTCACTGCAACCTCCGTTTCCCAAGTTCAAGCGATTCTCCTGCCTCAGGCTCCCGTGTAGATAGAACTTCAGGCTCCCACCACCACGCCTGGCTAATTTACGTATTTTTAGTAGAGACAGAGTTTCACCACATTGACCAGTCTGATCGCAAACTCCTGACCTTGTGACCCGCCAGCCTCAGCCTCCCAAAGTGCTGGGACTATAGGCGTGAGCCACCACATCCGGCCAAAAAATAACCAATCTTAAAGCTGGGAGAGAAAAGTAGGGCCTAGTTATCTGAGTTTTCCTTATTATTGGCTTAACTGAAGATCAGCTTTTCAATCATAATGAGCATTTAAGATAAAAAGAAGTACTGAGTACAGTTCTTGCCTTCAAGGAGTTTCTGGCCTAATAAATAGACAGCTAAACCTAAAGTATGTGTCTGTTTCCCTGCAGGTACATAAGATCCATACCTCTAGCTTGAGATGGGTGTTCCTGGTATCAGGCTGTATGTGCTGTCACAAAACTTTCTCCAACTTAAGATCTCTAAATCAGGTCCTTAGCCCAGTACTTATTTTAGAAAGTTCCACCTTATAAAGAGAGCCCCAATAACATAGAGCTTATGCTAATATAAAGGGTCCTATGTGATCTATAGTTAAGCCCTGGAATGCTGGGATTTGTTTTACTATTTTATTTAGTTTAATTTACACTACACATCTTACCTTATTTTGATACTATTTTAACACACTTTTATCATTTTTAATCTCATTTTTTCTTTTAAATAAAAAAATAGGAAGTGCCAGTGTAACAGTTCAATGGACAGACACACCCTGGGCAAGAGAACCTGGAGGCTTTTCCTCCTTTATTTGCTGCTGCAGAGGCTTGGCATCGCCTAACACGGATCAACCATCCTCTGAGAATCCCCTTGATTTACAAACAATACTCTAGGAAAAAAGTCAAGAGCTGAGACTTGAAATAACGCACTCTGCCCCAAAAACAGCTAAGGAAAATGTCTTATTGTAGGAACTACCTAGGAACAGTTGGGGACTATTCTGTCCTAAACGAAGACATCTTCAAACTAAAATCCAAGGTTTCCAACATATATAATTTTCTGATGTTGAGAAAGAAACAAAAAAGAAAGACGACAGTCTTAACCAAGGCTGTCTCCTTCTATTTGTGGAATCATAGGGATTCAATTGTGATGATCCCGAGTCTTCCCATACAGCGTGAGTGGGCGAGCATGCATGGATGATAAAGTCCATCAGGCAGCCTGTATAGAACCTGACAACACTTCCAGTGACACATGGCTTCAAAAGGAATCCCCTCATGTCATTCTACTCAGCTGCTTCTTTCCTCATAAAGGCCAAGGAGAAAAAGTCATTGGCTGAGAACCAATCCCAACAGATTTTACAGGCAATAGCTAAATCTCTCTCTTTTGTAAAAGATAAAATCCCAAACCTTATTTAATAATTGAGACTTAAATAGAATCCCAGAGCTTTTTATGAAAGGGAAAGCTAATCCCTCTAAAAGGGAGTTCTCAGAGTACCAGGAAGCAGTTGTGACAAGTTTTTAAACATCTCAAGAAACTTCAGAAGGAGGTGCACGATTGGGCCAACATGCTGAGTCCCATCTGCAATAACGACAGCCAATACAAGAACATGCACACGCATGTGCAGATCACATGCACAGACACCTACACACATGCGCATACCCCAAACATACACTCACAAACACATCTGCACACACTCACAAAACCCATACATGTACGTATGACCCCCCTACACATGGGCAGGCACACACATACCCACACTCATGCACCTCCACATGTATATATTTGTGCAGACACATGCACACACAAACTCACATTCTGAATATAAAGCACTGCTGTGACTGTTTCATTCCCAATAAATCTGTGAGGCAGGCACCATTACTATCCTTATTTTCCAGATGAGGAAACTGAGGCATAGGGAGATTAAATAATATGCCTAGGGTTACAAAGCTAATGACAGAGTCTGGATTCAAATCCAGTTCTAGAAAGTATGCTCTTAGCTTCAACTTTGTAAGAGGCATGATTCAGACTGGGTGCGGGCACTGTAATCCCAGCCCTTTGGAAGGCTGAGGCAGGAGAATACCTGAGGCCAGGAGTTTGAGACCAGCCTGGCCAACATGGTAAAATCCTGTCTCTACTAAAAATACAAAAGTTGGGTGGGGTGGTACATGTCTGTCATCCCAGCTACTCAGGAAGCTGAGGCACAAGAATCACTTGAACTCAGAAGATGGAGGTTGCAGTGAGCCAAGACTGTGCCACTGCACTCAAGCCTGGGGAAAAGAATGACACCCTGTCTCCGAAAAAAAAAAAAAAAGTGGGGGGGAGGGGGCAAGATTCTCAAGAGCCAGATCACAGAATACCACCTGAGAAAGGCAACCATTCCCGAATAAGCCAAGTCTTGACCATATTTCTATGTCTAATTCATGATCCAAGAAGCTCCCTTGAGGGAAGACATAACTCTTGATCGTCTTTTTTCATTTTCTTCCTTAACCCTAAGCCTGGCCCAGTGCCCTAAACATGACAGGTCTTTTGTAAATGTTAGTGAAATTAAACTTCTCCATAGCCCCATACTCATACAACACTGTTAATCAAAGCAAACAAAACAAAATGTCCAGAGGGAAGACTGGAGATTTTCACGTAAGAATTTAGATCTGGGCAACAGACATACAAAGAAGCAGTAAGTTGCAGACCATAGTGGCCACAAGGACCCAGTATGACCAACAAGGGTCACCGTCCCCTAAAAAATATCCTATAAACGGAGATCCTCATAGAGACAGAGCTCTGGAGTCTGACCTAAAACCACCACTATCCAGAAGGTTTTATAACTACTTGACTGTCGTATAAACATTTGCTATGACAAACACTAGGAGGCAGCATGGTGCAGTGGGAAAGGTCCAGGCTGTAAAGTCAGACAGACTTGGGCTCAATTCTGAGCTCTACCATTTACGAGTGTGTGATCATCAGATAAACAACCTAAGTTCTCCGAGATTTAGTGTCCTCATCTGAAAATGGGAATACTCAGACCCACTTCCATGTAATGAGGCAGGTATATAATGACATACACAGATGAATACAGCACCTGAAACACAGCAAGTACCGAAACAGTAGCTATTATTACTTTTAGTAGTGTCACTCTGTTAACATAAGTGAGAATGCCTGATGTACCACAGAATGATTAATGAACTACCTATAACTAAAATGTCAGGAGCTGATTACCTCCCCCCAAAACTTTCATATACACCAACTATCAATCTAAACTACAAGAGTTAGTGGAAAGCCAGTTACCTTGCTAGGAAATCAATAGTAGGCAATTAAGAGAGCCCTCCCCTGCCATTTCCATATCACTGGGATAGGCCTTACCTGCTGGTTGAAGTGCCTGTTCAAAGCCACACTGAGAAGGTCAGTGGCATATTTGGAAGAGCTGTAGGGTTCCTTGCCTTTGCTGTGCTGGAAGTCCTCGAGGCTGAAATTAGATTTCCTTGCATTGCGAGATGATGTCCAGATGAGCTGAGATGGATTGTCACTGTGACAGAGGAGAGGCTCCAGTTCCCGAATCTCGGTGAAATAAAAAAAAAAAAGTATTAAAATATACTGACAGAGTACAGATAACAATTTTGAAACCACTGTCCATCGATACTGAAACTGAAGAATTAAGTAAATGGATGGAGGACGGTGGGAGTCAGATTTGTCACTATTGAAGTGGGACATCACAAATAAAGGTATTGATCGACTTACGACCTATGCAACTTATGACCATTCGACTTTACGACCACAATCGCTAGCCACGACTGCTCTGCGTCTGGCAGCGCAAACGTTGCCGAGCTGGGCGGACGACAGTGCGGACCAGCTTCCGGCAGCACTACCACCTCCGCGTGCATATAGCCTACTCAACTTAGGACCAAATCGTGTTACGACTGGTCTGTCGGAACCAATCGTGGTCGTAAGCCGAGCATTAGCTGTAAGCATGGGGAGGAAGATAGAATGATCTATATGGTAAGAGACTAGAGTCAGAGACATCAGTATCAACTAGTTATCT